CTTGGCTTTTCCTTTGTATACAAAGTAATAAATGGTCCTATTGACTCTCCTTTATTGCTTGGTGAAATAAGCTTTAATGTCCCTAACCGCTTCTCTAGGCATTTTATCCTGGTTAAGCTTAATCAGTGTAAATTTAATTATGAGCTGTTCAATACGCTCAGAGTTGTTTGCAAGAACCTAAATGACGTCTACCACTTATTCTCGTTATCGGACTCTTTAAAGTCCATTAAAGCGACATTGCTTAATACGCGCGATTTACCTATGTCGTATTTAAACTAGCTTTTATCCTTAAAAAGTCGTTACGTTTCGAAAGTGAATTATTGTCAATTTATTATTGGTTGCCAGGCTTATGTATGTTTGCGATGGCTTAGGGGTTCATTTGCAATTTGGTCCTGTACCGGTTGCAAGTGTGCTCCTATGCTGATAGTGTACATGCTTTTTTTTTTTCTTTTTCTTTTTTTTTTTTTTCTTCTTATTTGTTTTATTATACTTATACTCAATTTTATTGTTAATTAATATAAGTTTTGCATTAAGAGCCAATTGAAATCGACTGTTATTTGTTTAGTTGAGTTTCTAGTATAAGTGGAATAAATACAATAAAATAAAAATAAAATAAAATAAAAATAAAATAAAAAGATTTACACGCAATTTCCTTACAGGTTGTCACTAAAACTGAATTTGATTTTGCGCATGCGCCGATTTTTCAAAATGTCACAATTGCTGCTTGGGATCCAGGCAAATATAATGCATCTCTGGAAGATTGGCTTACAACCTCCGATTATGATTTATTTTCAAATTATGAAATTTATCGTCGTCGCTATCCGAAATCACGTGCCTTCCTCGTGAATCCCCACTCGATTTGGCGTTTATGGCAGAGTTTACAAACATTTGCGGGTAATCGACTTATACGTAAAAATCCACCTAGTTCCGGCTTTATAGGTATTGCAACATTAAATTAATAGTCATATTACTTTTTAATTTTATATGTTTATAGTCAATTTTATTTTACATATCTATTCTACCTATATTTAACATAGCATGCTCTGCAATTTAACACATCACTCAACCGTCTTCGGTCTGACACATATATGACAGCACTGTTGAAATGTGCCAAAGTTTCGAAGGTTAGTTTACAAATCGTATAGCCCTTCAAGAGTGTTGCCACATATGTGTCAGCCCGAAGATTTATTGAGTAATGCATTTTATCTTACACCGGGTCATTTGAAAAGTTTTTAACCTGACATGTAGACAACATATGTCGTGCAATCGAAATATTTAGTTAGCCAACTCAAGCAGAAGCCGAGCTTATTTAAAAAAAAAAAAAAAACAGAGAATTTGAAAAGTTGGGCGGCGAGTATATGCGGACAGTGTTGATTCATATGACCTGTATCGAATATAATATTTAAAAAGGTAAAACATACAGTGAACATATTAAGGGATAGTTCTGCCTCATAAGGCTAGTAAGCAAGGGATAAACAATATGAACATTTAATTAACATGGGTTTGTCTAACCAGTGTATGTGAATTAAATGTTCATATTATTTTGTCTATTTAGACAAACGGTAATAGATATCAATATAGTTTTTTTTCTATATAAGGTGTTGCATTTTTATTTAAAAATGCTTTCCTATTAATGAACGACCAATTTTTAGTCACTTTTCACATACATTTGTATGAAATAAAGACATGGAGTGTTTGTGGGATATTGGAGCTAACCAAGGGCTCCACATAATTTCAAAGAAAGGGGTTGAATAAAATTATATTGTGGCAAATAGGTGTTTGGACCATATCGTCAAAGTTGAATTCATTTAATTCTAATTCGCTAAACGAAGAAGCTGTTGAACGAATTGATGTGCACATGCTCTTACAGAGAACATGGAATAAAAAATTAGTTAAAAAACCTCTAAAAACCAATTTGTGACTTTAAACTAATAGACTTAAGCTGTAGCTATTAAGTTTAAGTTTCTTGCACTAGTTAGACTGCGAAGTTTTTAAATAATCTGATATGTGATTGTGTAATCTTTAATCGTCAATTGATTGTGTGAATCACTTTGAACAAACCTTTATTAACTGATGTGAAATAACGAAAATTGTTCTTATAGGTCTGGCTTTACTTCTTCCTTATTGTTCCGTTGTACATTTCATCGAATATATACCATCAACACGTTTAAACGGTCGTTGTCATTACTACAGCAAAGAAGTAAATATCATTTTTTATTTTACTTATATGAAATTAATTGTATTCGTAAAAAGAAAACCAAAAATGCTTGCACATAACTGTCGTTTACTCTCAATATGTTGCCGTTTTGAGATATAAAAAAAAGTTAATAAATAAATAAATAAAAACAATTTACAGCATTTGTATTGTATATGTATGCACATGCTTCATGCATATACTTTATATGCGATCCACTTGTTAGTAAAATGTATTTTATATTTGTTTTTATTTCTATCCCTTTCCGCAGATAAATTCGGCATGCACGTTTGGCTCGTGGCATCCATTGGCCGCCGAAAAGCTGATGGCACTTGACATGAATATTGCCGACGATATATCTGTATTTCAATATGGCATTTTGCGTATAAAGCGTCCAAACAAATTATTGTGCGGTTTTAATTTTCTCGGTTATTAAATCCGAAGCACTATCATCACAAAAATATTCTGTCGTCAATGCAGCACACCTTGTCTATAAAATACTGAATTCAATAGTGCTAATAAAAACAGAAAAGAAGCGAAGATTCAGTCAGTACTACAATGAATGCTTTAATATCTCCGAAAAGTGGAAACTTAATGAAATTAAATTTATTTCCATATTTCGCTTTTATGTTAACTAGATTTACTATTAATTACAATTGGTATGTAAGAGATTTTTATCATATTTCGATTTTAAGCATCAAAAGCTTTAGACCTTAAGTTTACTTTTATAATTTTAAAATATTACTGGTTTGCCGCTTGGCTTACAAAATGAATTGAAAATTAATGCTAGCTTTTAGCAACTTCATCTATTGTGGGTGCCCAGCCACTGGAATATCAAGATTGTCACTGTATTGGAATCGTCACCAGTGATTTTTATATAACTAAACCAATTAGAAACACTTAACCCACCTTTAAGTACCCTGCACCACACTAAAGTTATTCACATAACGATTTTTAAAGACAAAACACGTTATATGCGACGTGACGAAGAAGTAGTCCGATTCGAACCATTTTTTAATAGCGTTCGTCCCTTGGCCGAGACAGATCAGTGTATCAAACTTCATTGCAATAACTCAAAAATCTCAATCTTAATTTAGTTGTCAAAGATTTTTTATTTTCCAGGGGCTCTTGCGTCCATCAAAACAAATCACAAATTAAATAAGGTTTTGTCACCATAAAAGGATCTGTTGTCATGAGAGATCCCATATGATCCAAATTACTTATGATCGATTTATTAAGCATAAATATTCCTCATAAAACAATACTTTTAGCCTTATTTTTCATTAGAATCCTTATGTATCTTGGGATACAAAAAAGAGACTTACGCTCGCTGAGGTTAATTTTCACGTTCACGAACGTATTTTTATCAAAAACAAAATTTCATCTAAAAATATTAAAAGTTAAGCCTTTTTACCATATCAAAACTCAGTGTCCGTGAAGCTGTGGGCTTCAAGGTTGATACTCGCCTGTATATCTTCGCTCGTACGCCTTTTGATTACGAGATATAATAGATTTTGCTCTAAACAATGCTCTTTGCATTATTCGGTATACGAAATTTAAACGGAGGTTCGAATTTTCCCACAATCAATTGAACTTTATATCGCTTTAGCAAGGCTCGTGCACATTCAACACTTGACGAAGAGAATTTTAATAATTTCCAAATCATTTTAAATTTGGTACTTTTCCATAACTTAACACAAACTGAAGTGTCAACAGGACTTCAAGGAAATACCCGGAACAAAAATCCAGTAGGAAGACCGCTTGAATATATTATGCCATAAGATAAGTCATATTCCAGCATATTGCAAAATTTATAACAAAAAACATTACTTTACGTCAACTGCATAGTCATAACTCGCATAAGACCTTGATAACATAAACACATAATATATTTCTTAAGTGGTTGGAAATCTAAATAGTGGGCCTCCTTTGTAATGCGTGATTAAAATATTTAGTGTTTATTTACTCTCTTTTATTTTAACAAGGAATAACAACAGCATTCAACGGCAGCACATTTAGGTTTTATTAAATTGAATGAAATGAAAAATTACTCGTTTCAATCAGTCACTATTCATCCGTTCATTAATGCTGTTAACATAACTACGCTTCTATAGACTACTGAACTGAAAAGAAGTTTCGTTATTTTATGCCCACAAGTAGCGAATGTCGACTTTCGTCTTTCATCTTTAAGTGTTTTGCTAGTAAATATTATTGTTAACGGTTCTACGAGATGCCTATTCATTCTTAGCTATTGTTTCTCATTCGTTTATGTATTTTATTTGTATTGCCTTTTTTTTGTTCCTTGCCTTCTGCTTCTTCTTTCCAACCAACAAAAGGTAGCTACCTAGCTATGCAGTTAACAAAAGAAGGAAATTCGCATGCGAACCATATTGAAAGATAATCATATAAATAATCGTTAACAAATATGCGTTTCTTCGTTTTATAGATTATACACTATTTACGTGGATTCATAAATATTGCGGAACTCTAAACTTTACTAAAATAATAAAAACAACGAATACGACGTAGCCTTGAGCAGACCTTGACAGCGGTTTGCACTTAGGGTGCAGTTAGCTAGCTAGTTGAAATATTAAGAAATCAAGCAAAATGTTTATGACGTTTTCTTACACAAATTCAAACACTTGTGATATAAGAAGCACTTGAAATGGACCCACCTTTTATTATTCTGATCGCTTCTTAATCACTGTCTGAATCACTTTCCGAATCTATTTAAGCTTATCTGCCTTTCCGCCCATCTTGTTTGCTTATCTTCACCGCGAGTGTGACCACTTCTTGGACCAATACTTCCCATATAAAGCCTTATCTTGAAGTTTGCTTAAATTCTGGGCGCTGCAAACGTATCATTTACCCATTTATTTACTTACACATAAAACTCAACTAAAAGAGATTAACAGTCGAATCCAGTCGACTCTTAGAAATAAATCTTACAGTAATTATTACTAAAAACTAATATAAGGCGTAAAGAAAACAAAAAATAAATAAAAAATAACAATTAAATAATAGTTCATGAATAAATAAATAAGAAAGAAAAAAAAAAGCATATACACAGCTAGCACAGAAACATACCCACAACCGGCACAGATGCAAGTTGCAAGTGAACCCCTAATTGCAAACATGCAAATGCTTGGCAACCGATAAGTGTAACAAGTGCAAACAACACCAATTAATTTTCGAATTATAATGAAATGTTAAGATTCAAAGTTAATTTAAACAGACTTTAAAGGATCCGATACTATATATATATTATTATATAAATTATATTTACATTGACTTAGCTTAGCGAAAATAAAGTAACTAGAGGAGCGGAAACACCAAGAGAAAATCTATGTTTCCGAAGTAACAGTAAGGATAACAGAAACCTATTTTCATAAGGGAGAAAAGAGGCAAGCGGGTCCCAACCAAAAATCCTAAGGGCAAACAGCAAAAGGAATTGGAAACTGCTTTTATTCTAAAAATATAAAAAATGAATCACATCCATCCAACGTTATAGAGTATAAAAATCTAATTCTTTTCCTTATTTTTAGAATCACGGTGATGGGTATAAAACATTCAGTTAGTTTTTCAACTTTTACCAAAAATAGAGAAAATCATATCAGAGCATTATAGTGGGATGTGGCCGACAATTTGAAAAAGAACTATATGAAATATGAGTGGGTACAACGCACTGGAATAGGACTGTGAATTCTACGCTTTCGTGATGGTTAAATGCTAGACTGCGGTATAGATAACTTTCTTGCCTTCTTTCTTAGATGCTTTCTTTTATCTACTTTTTCACAGACTGGGTTCATAACCGCAACTAATGTTTTCAAATTTTCGTTTCAATTTTAACTGCTGTACTTAGTGCCCCATTAACTCAGTAGTACATCAATTGAACTGTCGGATATATATGTGAAAAATTTTTCAACAATTTAACTTTCAGTATAAAAGGAAAGCGCAATTGAATGGGAATAAATCTACTCCATGCGTTCAATTTTCTTCTTAACATTTTTGTTAAGCTTTTCCACTGAATTGGCCCATTCTTGGAAGTATTGCGGTGTGACAGGGTTAAAAAATCCTATGGGTGGAGACATATGCTTTGAGGGTACGGAGCATTCATTTTGCAACCCCAAAGAACGCTTTGAAGAAGTAAGTAATCGTTTTATGTTCAATATTTCAAAAGAAGTTGTGATAATTTGCTTTTCTTTAGAAAGCACTATACTTTAGTGAGCATATAGCTGCATTTGTTCCGACTACAAGGAAGTTTAAAAGAGTTGTATTACAAATTCACAATGAGTATCGTAACAACGTGGCCGGAGGAAAGGCGCATAGTAAGGCATCCAATAGTTATTTTCCTATAGCTGGAAGAATGCGGGAATTAGTATGGGACGATGAATTAGAATACAATGCAAAACTGCACTTGGCTGCAGCAAAAATGATGGCTCATGACAATTGCCGTAACACGGTCCGTTACATATTGGCTGGGCAAAATTTGGTTAGAGTCGGAAAGAATATATAAATTACCATTAATATGATTTTTCTATAGGGCTCTACTGCAACGGATAATAAAATGACTGTACTTGAGGCTGTTGTCGATCAATTGAAATTGATGTACAATGAGAAAGATCTTGTAACCGATACATCGAAATTCGCGGACAAGTTAAGGAGTGAAGAGTATGTATCACTTTGCGTAAAAATATTTTACGTACATGTTTACATATACGTGTTAACGTATAGTGTTCAAAGATCCGGTCATTTTACGCAATTGATGGGAGATAGAAACTCACGGGTTGGATGTGCTTTTGCTCTAGGACTTAACTGTACTCATCAGTAAGTATATTTTTGCTAATACTATGCTTATAATGTAAGCAATTGTTTACCATTCATGCGAATATAATAACTTCTAGAAGTGAAAATTATGGTAAATTTCTCCTCCATCAGTTACATAATTGTTCTTTATAAAGGAGCGAAAATATTTCGAAAGCATTTTGAACTTGAATCAAAAATAAATAATTTAAAAATTTACAGCAAGGGGGACGCGAAAGTCTATTCATATTGCTATTATTTGGCTTGTCACTACGATTTCTCGAATGTCTCGCGATGGCGCCTGTACAAAACGCATCCAAACACTCCGGGTGCTCATTGCAGTGAATGGAATGTCGGCATGAATACTGACCCTAGATACAGTCACCTTTGTGAAGCAACCCCAAAAGAACTATTCGATTACTCTGATAAGAATGGTTAACTTGTGATCTGGTGACGTATGAGAAGATGAAAAAAAAATGAAAAAACGACAAAAATAAAAAGAATTTATGCGGTTTTTTTTTATAATTTAATTATGTGCTAGTCCATTCCGAAATTTACTTTTATTGTTTTTGCGACTTTTTAGAAGACATTTCGAATAAACATAATTAGTAATCAAAAGCAATTTTGTTTTAATCCGTAAGTGGAAACGATTATTTTCCGCTCCGATTTTTTTTAACATCACATTACAATTTGTTGAGCACATCGTGTATAGATGCACTATATAGGTCCTATTTTTCAAAGGTGCTAAAAATATATAGTTGCAAGCTACTTATTTATTATTTGAAACTACGAAATGTTAGCTAAGAGATTACCGAAACCGAACAATATTGGAAAATAATACATTACATTGCAGTTTTCAATAAAGTCGATAGCCTTAGATCTTTAATACTTTAAAATTTATATCTCATGCCAAAAGTATGAATCCATACTTGCACCGGTGATGACTTGAATTTGGTGGTGGCCCACTTTTCTACAGATTTGCTTAGCAACAGGAATCGGCAGGTTATGGCACTCACTCACACATATCAAAGAATTGATTTTTATTGCGAACAAGCAACTCCATGAACATATGAAAGATTGAATTGCGGTCACAAAGGTGACGCATGCACGCTTGCCGCGTAGTTTAGACACAATATTGAAGGATTAATCTGTTCGCAACTTGTTATCAAATAGTCTTAAAGGCAATAAAAAAATTTAATTGTTCAGATAAAAATTTCATGAGAATCATTTTTAGTTAAAACTCTTTGCGCCAAACTGTACATAAAACTCAAAAGCATTGCAGACCAATCTTAAGCGATAATGAAAAACATCTACCGTTCAATGTCCAAGCAGAAATGTCGAAGCGTTAATATGAGGGTCTCAACCACACTCTCTTATCTCCGGTATTTACATCACAACGAAAAAGCTGACGAATTGCGAACAGCTTTGCATGGTATCTTCATGGGAGGGAGGAATCCTTAGTCCCACTAAACATACATTACGTCTAGCGTTACAATTACCACCTTATAGCCTATCAACCTCAAGAGCAAAAATTTGTAAATTTCAGCTGCTCGATATTCCCACATGTTTATTTCGCCTTAGTCGCAATAAGATATTTTCTATCGGTGAAGCGATTGATAATTTTAAGGCTTTTTTTATTTTCCAATGAAACTTTTTTTACGAAAAATGCAATAATTCTTGGAAATTATATTAAAATGTACATTTTTTCCACCGCTGTTTTAAAGTTACATAATATGGTATGAAGAGAGCATATGTTAATTGCTTGTTCAACATTACAGTCACGTTTCTCAACAATCAAGTCGTGAGTACGAAAATATTTCAATCTTATCAAACAGCATGTAAGAGAAGAAAAAACAAAAGTATGGAACAAATTTCAAAAATGCAAATGTTGAACGATTTAGAACCGCTTTATTCTTTAGTTTATGTTGAAATTGGAAGATTTTGCATTAAGAGCACTTACTACTGACTTCTCAATAATTTGGCTTTTGTGATCTCTTCTCTCATTCTCTTGTTGGGCGGGTGGATTGCCTCATAATCGAGAAACACAGTTTTTAAGGGAACTTTCTTATTCCTATTACTTCGAACGTGGAATGTACAACGTAACATATGTTGTTGTCAATTCTGAATAAATGAACACTATTTTCACGCTATATTTCAAATTTTCCATCTAGACTTGCTTTAAGTTATCTGGTGTTCATGAGAATACATATTGAAATGTTACTTAATTTTGTGCACCCCATGTCAAAACTGTGTTCATTTTATTCAAACGTGCGCACAGTCCAAATGACTTTTTGGAGATCCAATAATGTAAATCCACACATCCCTCCTCAGTCTAAATCGATTTAAGAATGATCCTCTCTTCGCTTAAGTAATATCTGATGATTGCAAACATTATGCAATATATTGACTTTAAATTTTGCAAAAAATTGGAAACAGATTGGAATTGAAAATCGAGCAAATCGATTGAAGGACACGCCTAGACTACAACATGAACTTAAAACATCTGTGTGATCAAAAGCGAGAAAGTGGAGTTTTTTGTTATTACTCACAAGGTGGAAGAGCAATAAAAATTTTAATATTCTATGAGCTATTCAGTAGCTGGGATAAATGCGAGCACTTTCAGAGCTCTCTTCGATGCGTAAAAAAGAAGTAGAAATCTAAGTACACTCTTCGATTATATGTACAATATATAAAAGCAATTTCGTAAAAAAATTGGCAGCGACAACACAAGAATGAACCGTAAATGGTTTTATAATAAATTTACATTTTTTGTCGATTTATCATGTATTCTAAAGACGTGAAACAGGCATTTTCCGCTATGAAAAAAAAAGAGAAGATAAAAAAATAAGTATTATATTTAGCTGTGACTGAATTTCTCATATCTACTATGCTTAAAAAAAAAAAATAGTAACAAAACGGAAATAACGAAATTTCTCTAGCATACAATAAGGACGGACGCGATCGATGTCTGCATTTTCATGTAAGATATAAGATTACCCATAGAACTATCTAGAAAGAAATTTCTATCGTTGTATCTGTTGCAATTTATGAGTAATGCATAAGAAATATACTTTTTTATGCTGTTTTATGTTGTATTGCATGTCCTTTGATCAATTTGACTCAATTCCAAACAGCGTAACTAATACAAAATCGAAAACTTAACTTTAGCAATCGGAAACCTGTTTCTCACGAACAGACGGATACACAGACAGACATGCCTGCATCGATCAAGAATTTGATACAAAACGAGAATATGTTAGTGGGCTCCGTGGCTTCTCCGTGGATGTTGCAAAACTTTTGAAAAATTAATTCCTCCATGCGTGTATACAGAGCAGCAAACAATTATAATACTTTGTGTTTTGTTGTTGTAACACCATAGGCATTGTGCGTTTACTTTCAAAATATTCATCAGGTGACGAAAGTCAATGACCAGAATCAAATAAAGTGCATAAGACAATAACGGTAATGTTTCTTGGGAACAGTATGACTTATGACTGCACCAAATTGCAATAATAACAAAATTAATGACAGCGCTAAAATGATGAAAGAAAAGTCTTGTCAAAGCAGTTACAACTGAATTCTCATGGGTCTTCGGAAGATCTAAGAATTCTTGGATTTCTTTCATATATATTCTTATACGCACAAATCTGTAAGATTAACTAATGGTTAACTAATTCGGTAATAAGATACTATTGTAGAAAGTAAAAATCACATCTTATCCTATTTCTCAAAAGAATGAACGAAGAGTGAAGAATATCATTTCTAAACCATTGACTTATGCGAAATTTATTAAAAATTTTTTGAGAAATGTTCAAAAATTCCGCTGATAACCTATTTAAAAGCATACGTGTCTGCATATACTTTATAATAATGTTTATATAAATATGTAAAAACGGAAAAAAATATTTTCAAGAATTTTCTTGGAATAAATAAATGGATAAGCTCAATGTCTCTAAGCACATACGGGATGATTCAAAATTCCGGATAAAATTGAAAACACATCTGGCATACTTAATATTATATACAATTTCTTTATCTTCAATGCAGTACAAAAACAGGAACGCACGTAATGAGTAAAGAAAAAAACTCTCCTATAAACGTTAAATACGCACTGTGATGCACAGTAAATATCCAGCATCTCTAACGCATGCATAAAATCTGCACACTGTTTTCTTTCCTAAGTCTTCTCCAATCAGCTTTTCAACAGAGGTTTTTAATACTGAATTTTTGCATGACCTTTTTTTATACGAAAATTTCAATTGACGTTCTGAATTATGCTCTAAGTTACTGCTTACGAGATGTTAAGGATTAAGCATACCGGTGTATAGTATTATTTATTACAAGCTTATCAGCTTTATCTTTGTCTATGGATATATGTGGCACTTGTAGGCGGAAGGTATGCAATGCCAAAGGACTGCCCAAGAAGATCCTGGCAGTAGGAGCCACCTATGAACACTTCTTTGAGCAAGCAGCTTCTATTCGAGATTCTGATACAAAGTCTATGGATGATTTGGAGGCCAGAGGCGGAGTAATTTTATGGCTGGCATTGATATGTCGAAACCTCTTCTTACAAGTTAAAAAATAAATTATGGAGTAGGTCGAACGACAGTCTAGGATATAAGCAAGAACGATTGTGGCATTATAGTTTGAACTATGGAAACCATGGGGATCAGGGAGACCAAGTGGGTAAAGAGTAAGCGCAAGGAAGGTTTGTATGTGTTTTCCAACAACTATGGTGGGGAGGATCTTGGTGAATATGAATACCTTAAGCGTATCGGGGGTGCACTGAAACACTAAAAGTGATGCATAGGTCACGCTTTGACCGAAAGGGAGAGCAAGCTCAGCAGAGAGAGTTTGAACGATACACAAATTCTCATATCTGGCACTCCAAGTTTAGTATAAGCCCTGTAAGACAATCCTGCGTCTTGCAAATTAGTTGCCGTAAGTTATCGCTTGCAAAAAACTTGAAAACCAACGAATTTGTCTGTAAAAGTTTCTTCTCAAATTCTAGAACATAGAAAGCATACCTAGTTTGCTTTAAATCTCTCATCCTTAAGCTACATAAGCTACCTGAAAAGTGTTAAAGTGGTAAGTGTTATCAACAACGATTAAAAAGTATTAAAAAAAAAAATTGCAGAAAAACTAAGAAAATAAAGAGAATAAAATTCTTATATAAATTGAGAATATAGGAATAAGAAAAAAAAGGAAGAAAAACATTTAGTATGAGTTGACAACAGGTGTAAATCCTTGTTGAAGATGAACCTCCGCACCATTATAAATACGCAAAAGTTTAGCAACCGATAATAGTGAAGAAACTTAGTTCAGTTATCGAATCTCTTAAAAATGTCGAGAATAGTAGCTAATCTAGATCGACATCGGCAGGCTGCGCGCATTTAGGAGAGTTTATTCGCTATGTTTAATGCCGGAGATAAAGCAAAA